TGTATTATATGATACAATATGATACCATAGTATATTTTTTTACACACACACACACATATATATAAAAACCTTGTTGTACCATCCATTAGCTTTGCTGATTCTTCGTGTGATCCCTTGTGCTAGAACACTGAACGCTTAGATGTTTTAATGACCCACAGGGCTCCATTAAAGAAGAAGAAAACTCTCTTTACTCAGCAATTTACCATCACCCCCCTTTTCTTTTTTCTTTCTCCCTCTCTGCTAACGGCTTTCCAGGGACCGCTCTGAAGGTCACTGGGCTTGAGTTTCTCAAGAGCCAGAACTCCCGCCTGCACCACACGGATGCGTACAACATCAAGAACCTGGTGGTGCGGCGCGGGCAGGCCTTTCAGCTCCAGCTCAGCTTCAGCAGGGAGTTGAAGGCTGCCGACAAGCTGGTACTGCATTTTGGCATCGGTAAGCAGGTCCCCCCCTCCACGGCCATTAGGCAAAGCGGGAGAGCCCCGGCAGCCTCCGGCTGCCTGTTCCTGTCGCCCAGCGCTGCACGGTGGTTGTAGACCCGTGCAACCCTCCCGCATCTCGTGTTGGGTTTGTTTCCAGGTGAAAAGCCAGTGAAAAACAGGGGGACCCTGATATCACTGAACCCGAGGCAGGAAAAGGAGGTCTTCAGCGGGTGGCAAATCTCCTTCGTCAAAAACAGCGGCAAGGAGGTAGGACCCATAGGCCGTGCTCCCACATGGTGCAATGGTGGAGGGCAGCAACATGAAGCCCGCTGGGAGCGATAGAACAAATCCTCATACCCCCATCCTGCTTTTCCTTAACCCTGTAATTTTAGGTGGGCAGCAGCCTTGCCCTGCATAATTCATTGCTCCCCCACTGCACACGCAGGATGCGCCCCATTCCTCTCCCCCCATGCGCATCCCCGTGGCCACCACCTTCGGTGCTTGTGCCATACTTGTGCCATGCCTCTGGCCATGGCGGAGGGTCCGTCATGCCGTCTCTCCTTGTCGCCTTCCCAGTGCCTGCTGTCTGTCACCAGCTCACCCAGAGCCCTGGTGGGAAAATACACCCTGAACGTGAAGACTGGGACTAACAATTACAAGCCCGAAAACAATGATATCTACCTTTTGTTCAATCCTTGGTGTGAAGGTGAGTGGTCCTGCAACCGAGGGTGATAATTACTGCTCCCAGGGATTGTCCCTGGGGGAGCTTTTCTTCACATTTTTCCTCCTCTTTCCCACATACCTTGCTTTTTCTCCCTAAAACACCACAAGCAGCATCCTCATGGAGCCAGTGGGAAGCTGGGCAATAGCAATGAGCCAGCTCCCTGCTGGGGAGGTCCCGGTGCGGGGGTTAAGGGACATCTTTCTGTCACCTCTGTTTGCACCTCTGTGTCACCCCTTGCTGTTTCCCCAGGCCACTGCAAAGGTTAACTGAGATCACTGGGTTGGCTTAAAATCCAGATAAAAAAAAAATAACCGGACAAAAAAACGTGTGTTGTTGGTTGGCATCAGTCCCCCAGTTCTCTCTGCTGTCTACCTAGTCTATGGAAGTGTTTTTTCAGAAAGAAGCATTTCACTGAAATAAAACAGTGGTCATATAGCAACACACCTTCAGAGGCAAAATAAAGGTAGTCTTACAGGAAATTTTTCCACTATAGGAAATGTGAGTGCTGCATGGCCATCATTTGGTGTGAATGTTACAGACCACCAGCTCCCCCAGTTTAGCTTTCCAAGGAAAATTTCACATAGCGTGTGTGCAAACCACCTAACTTCTGAGGGTTTTTTTGTTCCAGCTGATGCCGTCTTCCTGGCCAATGAGGCACAGAGAAAGGAGTACGTGCTCAACGATACAGGCTACGTCTATGTTGGGTCTGCACACAGTATATATGGTAGACCCTGGAATTTTGGGCAGGTAAAACACAGCTGTCATGTTGGCATTATTACCGTTATTCGCTTATTTCTCCCTTAGGTGTTCATTTCAATGAATCAGACCTAAAACCAGTGTAAGCCTGTGAGTAGCACAAAGTGCTTGAATAATCCTGCCAGCTTCACTGGCAGGGCTCACCTTCTTGGAGTAATCTGTGTACCTGAGTGTTTTCCCCAGCCACAGCTTTAGAATGAGGTTTAATGGCATGTTTATAACCAGATCACAAGACCCCTGGTAAAGGACATGGAAACTGGGGATGGAGCATTTCTGGTTGAAAAGATTCCCATAAGGAGTCTTCCCTGCTCTCTTGCAACACAGCAGCTGTCGGTAACTGGCTCATGAGCTGCGGAGAGGGCTGATGGGGGAAAAAAAACGTCTGAGTATTTACCTATTGCATCATGATCGGGGAAAAATAGAGGAAAAGCACTGGCAGAGGTCGTTATCTTTCAAGTGGTGCCTTCACCAACTGTGACGTGAACTGGTGGGTGCAGGACAAAATCAGTCCACCCTTTCAGGAAGGGTGTTCCTCCATGCTGCCTCTGACATAACTCCAGTGGAGTGGAATGACAAACTTGCTTGGCTTAGAGATAAGAGGTGGATGCCAGAGCAGGTTTATTTGCACCTTTGAGAAAGCACAACAGGCACCCAAACAGAGCATCCTGCACCCTATCCAGACAGACTTCCCCACCAAAATATGTTTGAATCTGTTTGGTTTTTTTTTTTTTTTGTTTTGTTTTCTTTTTTGGTTTTAGCTTGTTTTATAAGTCTGCAATTTCAAGCTACAGTTATAGACAGCCCAGCAAAAGTGCTCATGCTGATGCCTTTTCTGCGAAGGGGCAAAAAGGCATTGTTGATAGGACTGTTCCTATCCTAATATTTATTCTGCCATTAAGCAATGAAAATTGATATTGATATTCTGCCAAGCTTTGTTGGATTGGATGTTTGACATCTCTGTGAATTGGACCTCAGGGAGCTTTAGCAGCAATTGCTAATTAGGAATCTTTTGCTGTAATGATCAGCATTTATATATTTTTTTTCCCAGGGTTCATTTTGTACTTACATCAATAGACTGAGTATCCTAAGAGTAGCACTCTTAAATTTTCATTATTCTTGTGAGTAATTTGAAGGGCTGCAGGGAGATGATGTAGGTGACTTAGGACTGCCTACAGGAGTAAAGATTGCTGGGTCAGGTTCCAAGTGTGTTTGCAAGACATGTGAGATAGGCTTTTGTCTTCCAAGGTGGGTTTTTGTTTAAGCCCTTCTTTGGAGAGAACAGCTTTAGGAAGCCCTGTAGCCTCGAGAATTCATATCATAAGGAAGTTTAGAAGTTAGGACAGTCAGACAGTTTCCTCCAAGTACTTAGACAGACTTTGTAGTGATTGAGCAAATTCTGTTTTAGAGCAGTGTATAAAAATGTCTCCACTTTCTCTCCAAAACAGTTTGAGGAATTAATCTTGGATGCCTGCATGTATCTGCTGGACAAAAGTAAACTCAAGATAAACGATAGAAGGGATCCTGTGCTTGTGTCCAGAGCCATGTCTGCTTTGGTATGTCTCTCTCAGAGAATTGCTTTGCTCCTCCAGCTTTCCCTCCTCCTTCTTACTGCTCCTCCTTCCCCGGGGCCTTGAACACCATTTCAGGATGCATCTGAAACGGGTTCCTTTGGGAAACCACAAGAAAAGAGCGAGAGGCATTTTGGATGGAGGCAAGAGATGAGCGAAATACAGCACCTCCCCATCTCCAAAGCTTGCAGCTGCCCCAGTGGTTGTCCTTCCTCAGCAGCTGTGTTGGCAAGGCCAGCACAAGGGTTATGTTTTGGGGAGCAACTGCTCTCTGTGGTGGGACCTTTCTTGGAGCTCTGTGGTTTAAGATACAAAATGAAGAGTGCATTTTGTCTGCCCCGAGCAGCGGTGCCACTTCCCTCTAGATATCCAGGTGGAGGGTTTCCAACCAGGGGAGCCCGCCCCAGCCAGCACCAGCAGCCTTGCTGGGTGCCACGGGGCTACAGAGCACCTGGGGAGCCACAGGGTGGGCAGAGACTCCAGGGTCTAAGTCTCATTGCTGTATTTTTCTCCTTTGCATGTGTGTGTGGCCACAGGTTAATGCCAACGATGACAACGGTGTCCTGTTGGGAAACTGGTCAGGGAATTATGGAAATGGGACCTCCCCTATGGATTGGATTGGGAGTGTTGCAATTTTGCAGAAGTTTTATGAAACGAAGAAGCCAGTCCTTTATGGTCAATGTTGGGTCTTCTCAGGAGTCCTCACTACAGGTCAACAGTGAACTGTGTCCCTTCTCTGATATCCTAATTACTGTGCTAGTAAGCCAAATTACCGTGCCTCTGAGCGCTGGAGGTGGCAGGGTCTGTCATGTAAGGTCAGGCTGAGGGAGCTGGGACTGCTCAGCCTGGAGAAGAGAAGGCTCAGGAGGTCTTATCCGTGTGTATAAATATCCGACAGGAGGGAGTGGGGCAAACAGAGTGAGGCTGTTCTCAGTGGTGCCCAGTGACAGGACCAGAGGTGATGGGCACAACCTGAAACATGGGAGGTTCTGTCTGAACAGGGGGAAAAAAGCTTTTTTCACTGTGAGGGCAACGGAGCACTGGCACAGGTTGCCCAGAGAGGTTGTGGTCTCCATCCTTGGAGATAATAAAAATCTGTCTGGACATGGTTCTGTGCACCTGCTCTAGAGGACCCTGGGTGGGCAGAAGGGTCGTCCAAGACAATCCCCAGAGGCACCCACCAACCTGAGTGATTTTGTGACCCTGTGTTTTGTCTGTCTGTGCTGCAGTCATGCGCTGTTTGGGGATCCCGTCCCGCTGTGTCAGTAACTTCAACTCGGCACACGATACAGAGGAGAACCTGAGAGTTGATGTCTACCTGAACGAACGTGGAGAAAAGCTGAACTGGATGTCCCATGACTCTGTCTGGTACTGCCAAGGGGAGGCTAACGCCTCCTACCCCCTGCCGCTACTGCCCCACAGTGTCGCATTTCCCAGCCCCAATAGCCTTTCCTTTGAGAATTTCCCTACTGCTTTGGGTTTGCTGCCCGGGAGAGAGAGAAAGCCTGGGGTTTCACAGGGTTACACACAAATCCCCATTAAACCTGCCCTTACTTAAGGATTAAGAGAGGAGATCGTGACTCTTCTGGCTGTAACAGCTCACTCCTTTCTAACCCAAATGCACACAGGAACTTCCATGTGTGGAATGATGTCTGGATGAAGCGGGTGGACCTGCCGACAGGGTTTGATGGCTGGCAGGCAATCGATTCAACCCCTCAGGAGAAAAGTCAAGGTAGGATTTGCCTAGAAAGGTTCTTCTGCAACTCCCAAGGGAGGCAGAGACATTTCAAATGAAACCCATGGTACCCAGTCAGCAAAGCGCGTACTCCCCATGCACATCTTCACACACTTGGGCACTGACATCCTAAAGCCGTAGGTCTCACTCCTGTCACCTCAGCCCAGGACAGGAGGAACGGCGCCTCTTGGCAGGCAGAAAACCAACCTTGTAGGACACTGTGGGGATTGAATGTAATTTCAGAGATTAGAGCTCACAGCTGGAAATCAGAGCTAATTTCTCTTTCCACCATCCTCTGATTTCTTTGGTGAAGTTGAGGACTCAAAGCAGTCTGTAGTAAGAAGTGCCACAGCTTTCCCCAGTAAAGATGCTTTCTGTAGAGCTTTCCTGAGGAAGTCATGAACCTGTTCATTGGTAAATGAGAGGAATGACTGCCAAAATTTGTGACTGCCCTCCCTGCACAGATGCAGGGAATCTGGAGGCAGGAAAGAAAACATTAGTCCTCAAGGCTGTGCAGAAAGTGAGGTATTGCCAGGAGATCAAACACAGGTGGCTGGACTCAGTTGACTCCATCACCGAGCCATGACTTTCAAACCTTAAAATTATTTAAGTGAGGGGAAACATAAAAAAGCTCTTACCAGACCTTGGTCATCTGTAAAAAAGCCCAAACAGCTATGGGATAAATGGGGCTTTCAGAGTTCGTCACTGAGTTGGAGGAATATTTACTACTAAGAGTCAACTACCACGGCCACAGATTCCTACTTGGGAGGGTCTGAGGGTGGAAAAATAATTGGAGGCTCTGCTCATATTTGGAAAAGCAAATGGTGTTGAATGCACTTTCTAGGTGTTTACCAGTGTGGTCCATGCCCGCTGAAGGCTATCCGAGAAGGGGATGTATATTTGCCCTACGACAGCAAGTTTCTGTATGCAGAAGTGAATGCTGATGAAGTCTACTGGCTTGTCAAGAAGGTGAATGGCAAGGATAGGTACATCAGGATTAGAACGGACACCCAAGGCATCGGCATGAACATAAGCACAAAAGCCGTGGGGCAGAACAAGCGGGAAGACATCACTGCACAGTACAAGTTCCCTGAAGGTGACTGCCCCCATCCTCTAAAGTAGTGCCTAAGAGGAGACCCCTGGCTGTGTAGGTCACCCCACAACGTGTGTTTTCTCCAGGAGAAAACCGCTGGGGTAGCTGCAGTGGCAAACCCCGTGTAAGACCTGGAGACCTGGGGAAGGCAGCTCCTGGGCATCTTCATACCCACAGTGACACCTATAGGCTGCTCTTTAGGGACGGCTATGAGCAAACTTGCAGGCAGTGAAAGAAACGGGCTAAGTGACCAACCTAGTGGCTGGACTCACCGTTGCTTCATTTCTTCATTCTTCTTTTTGTCTTTCCATTCCCCAGACCATATTGGAAACAAAAAAACCCCCACATTCCCTCTCCACAGTTCTCAGATCCAGCCATGTTGTGCTAGACTATTAAGCCCTTCCCAGTGAGGAGCAGAAAAATCTTAGGCTGAAAAATTTGAGAGCATTCATCTTCTAAAAGTGTTTCCTTCAGGAAATTCTTCCAGTCCATAATGCTACAGTTAGAATCATAGAATCATTTAGGTTGGAAAAGACCTTGAAGAACTTCAAGTCTGACCTTTAACTTAACACTGCCAAGTCCACCGCTAAAGCATGTCCCCAAGCACCACATCTACAGGTCTTTTAAATGCCTCCAGGGATGGCGACTCCAACCACTTCCCTGGGAAGCCTGTTCCAATGCTTGATAACCGTTTTGGTGAAGACATTTTTCCTAAGATCCAATCTATACCTCCCCTGGCACAACTTTAGGCCATTTCCTCTAGTCCTAGCGCTTGTTACTTGGGAGAAGAGACCCACACCCACCTCACTACAACACCCTTCCTGGTAGTTGTAGAGAGCGATAAGGTCTCCCCTCAGCCTCCTTTTCTCCAGGCAAACAACCCCACTTCCCTCAGCCGCTCCTCATAAGACTTGTTCTCAGTTAGATCCAGTGGTAGTGCAAACCAAGAGGGTCTCCTGAGTAGAGGCTGGAAGTGCCCCGACATCCTCTCAGCAGCAGAAGCATAAATAAAGGGATGGTGGCTCTGGGTGAGGAGACTGAGATACAGCTATCACCCATCTTTTTTCTTCATCCAGGCTCCAGAGAGGAAAGGGAGGCCATGGAGAAAGCTTCCTCCTTCATATACACTTCAGGAATAACACCTCGTGCATTATTCACTCCGTCTGTGCGCACGGTTGAAGAGGGTGCCGGTCCTGGGGTCCTGCCTGAGGCGGTCTCCAAGACTGGGCTCCAGCTTGAGATAACCAATAAAGCAGCTTTGTATCCTGGCAATCCCCTTGAACTGGCCATCACAGTGAAGACCTGTACTCCAGGAACCTGGACCATCGATCTTGCCAGCTCCTGCCAGCTGCAGTCCTATACTGGGAAAGTTGAGGCTAGCCTTGGATATGTCAAGGAGACTGTCAAGCTTGAAGGCAAATCTGGTAGGCACAGAAAGCTTGCTGTGTTCTATGGGCTATTTACTGTGGCAGTCTGGGGTTCCACTCGAGCTGGTTCATAATAGCTCCGCTATAGGTCAGTGCATGGCTCTGTACGGCACGAAGAGGAGAAATTGCCTGCCTGCTACCTACCTCTCTTATTACTGTATTTGGGAGTCTCAGTTACAGACTGGGATCCCACTGTAGTGGGGACCAAAATGTGAAGGCCCTGTCCCTGCTGCAGCCTCAACAAGATGGTGAGAAATACATCTGTGTGGGCAGAGAGATGCTTTCATGGTGCAAGCAAGGTGTGCTGAAGTGTCTCCCTCCTGTCCTCACCGTGAAGCATCAAAGATGCCACCACAGGCTTCGGGTGTGTCCATATGGGGGAGATCCCTCACAGGATTTAGATGGCTGGAAATTTCAGCCTTTTTTTGTTCCAACTCTAATGTTGATCTGCTGGTGGTGATGCTGGCGAGTGTTATTTTCTGAATTCTTGGCCCAGGCAAATTTCAACCTCGCAGCTGCCTGCCTGGCTGATCCCAAGAGCTGTTTGCTGTTCATTGCATATCTTTGAGTGACCTGGGTTGCGTTTCTGATCCCCAGCAATGTGACTGAAATTTGCTAAACAAGAGACTAACGAGTGATGAATATTTAACAGCACTTGCTCATTCCAAGCGTGAGTCACTCTTGCAAAAAAAAAATCTTTGCTGCTGGTGATTGCTGAGTGTTTTCACACATACATTGTGACTGTCAAAATGCGACAGGGTAGCCCACAAAGGTAGCTACATACCTTTAGAGATAAGGACAGGCTTTTCTCTTTTTTTTTTGATTCCCAGAGGCCAGGAAGCCTTGCGGCTAAAGCAATGTTCAGACTCCAGCGCTGCTGACTCTGGGGCTTTTCTGAGCCACTGGAAGTTTGTCCAGGCAATTAAAGATAAAATCTGAAGTGAAAGGAAAGACGCTAATTTTATAGTGAGCAGTGCCTCAGAGAAACCCCAGGGGACTCGGGCTTAAATGCATGCGACCTCATGCTCCTCTGCCTCCTTCTGAGTGCTGGGGCAGCCAGGGACAAGAGCTGCCGAGACACTGGATGTGAGCCTGAGCCAGCACTCGGCTTGGTGAGGAGATGGTGTGGTCTCAGCCGCCCTTCCCATGGGCTGCATGTGCTGGGTACCAGTTGCCCAGCCAGGGCTTTCCCCCGAGGGGCCCCTGGGTCAGGTCAAAAGCAGGATGGTCTCAGCAAATACCCCTCATGCCATGCCCTGGGGCACCGGCCACCAGAGCCAACTTTGCCACCCAGTTCCTGGGCATGTGGTGACGCACCGAGTTGTGTTTTCTCTGCTGCAGAAACACAGGTTGCTCTGAAAATCGCGGCTGATGCATACATGAAGACACTGGCCTTGGTGGAAGATGAAGTGCTCATCCACATCACCACCATTGCTGAGGTCCAGGGGACGGATGACAAACTCACCAAGGAGATGACGATGAACTTTGAGTACCCCCCCATCACCATCCAGGTGAGGCAGCCTCCAGCCCTGCTCCTCGCGGACGAGGGTTAAAGCCCTGCTCACTGTAACACCAAGATGGGGGTTAGCATTCCCAGAGGGATCTCCCAAACAGCTGCCTCCAGGGATGCTCAGTCCTCAGTGTTTTATTTGGCTATTCAACCTTTATTTGAAGGCTGAAAGCGGGCAGGAAATTAAGATCTAATAGCCCCATCTAAAATGGGCAGGCAGGGGCCACTGGAGGGAAGAGGATGGAAGAGGACAGTTTGTATGGGGCCCATCTCCGGCCCCACAGCTCTACCTCCTGAATGAAAAACCTGTTGAGAAACCAGAGAAGAGCTGGGAAAACAGCCAGTGGGGCAGAGCACACGGTGCCATGGGACGGTGGAAAGGATATGAGGGGGTTGTCTCCCACCATGCTGGTGGTGAGGAGCAAACCTGTAGCAGCTCTAGCATCTTTATTACCCCTCTGATCCCCGGTATTTGGGTTTGTTTCTCTCTTTCTTCCTCTGCCAGATGCCAGAAATGGCCAAACTGAACAAGGAGTTTGCCTGTGCCTTAATCTTCAAGAACGACCTGAATGTGCCCCTGGACAACTGCAAGCTGCTGGTGGAGGGCTTGGGCATATTTAACACGACAGAGTTTGATGAGGGGTAAGGAGATGAGCCCAGTATGAAATGGAGCATGGGAGGGTGCTGCTTTGTTTCTTTTTTTTTAATTTCCCTTGAAGAAGTGGTTAGGGGATTTGGAGTAACAGGGCCCTTTGCAAGCTATATTCAAAACCACACCATGTTTGGGCACAGGTCACACAGCAGAAAGACACAGCAGAGGTTGGTGCGCTCAGGGCATTCGGGCATGACAGGAGCTCTCCTTGTGCTCCTGCTGTGATGCCAGGTGCTGCCCGGCCAGTGTGAACACAGCTGCTTCTTGCAGAGCCAAATTTAGCATTTCAGCAGTACGGGGAAGTCTGGGGAAGGTCCCCAGGATCACTGGGACCACCAGCCAGCACCAGCCAAGCCCCGCTTGCTGCATATTCGTCACAGGAAAAGGGAAACACCCACCCTAAACACATGCAGCAGCTATTTCTTTATGCAAAACAATTCGAAAGCAGTAAATAAGAGCCATAACTCATGCTGGGACTATTTGTTTTTTCTTTCTCCTTAGGGATGTAAAGCCTGGTAGAATCATTAAGTCTGAAATAATATGCACTCCGACAAGAGTAGGAGAGAAGAAAATGGTAGCCAAGCTGATCTCAACCCAGATCAAAGGGATCTGTGCAGAGAAGGCCATCACCATCACCGAGTAGGATCGGTGCCTCAGTGGGATGTAAACGGTGGCCTTGCTAAATGCATAGCACTGCTGCATGTCTCGGGTGCTTCTTGCCTCTTTGATTGCTGGATAATAATCTTGAAGTAAACAGAAAAAATCCCATTAAGCTGATGGAATTGAACTGACTTATAGGACACAGTTTTGTTGATTGTAGTTAAATGTGATTCAGTAAAGGCTGTTAAAATCAATTGTGTGATTGTGTTATATGGTGTCACCAGGCTGGGATGGCTCTGAGCCCATGGGGGGACATTGCCACCTCAGGTCAGGGATCAGAGCTCATGAAGGTGCTGGCTTCAGCCAGCAGTGGGTATGAGCCCTGGGGGTGTTTTGCAGCTGCTTGGTTGCCCGGGCTGGCAGGACTGTGGTCCCACATGGGAGGCCACCCAAGGACCTCACCACACCACAGGCTGCTGTGCAGCTCAAGAAACATTTTAAACAAATCCATCCTGGGCAATTCCCTCTCCCTCCCAGCTAGCCAGCTGGGGAACCATAGAATCGTTTAGGTTGGAAAAGACCTTTAAGATCATCCAGTCCAACCATTAACCTAATGTATACTGGCATACACCTTTTTTTGTGTTTAGACAACAAAGAGAGCAAACCTGGCACACTCTCCCCAAACACCATTTTTCATACATCTTCCTTTCCTCCCACCCAATTTCTTTTGGGGGTTTTCAGGCATTTTTGAAAGAAGTACCATCTCCAGCACCATTACCAGTGCTTCCCGGGAAATGTATAACCTTTGTCCTTCCCCTTCCACCCTGAATGCTGCTGGATTACATGTTGGAGCTTGATGGTGATGTATGTCTGGAGCTCTTCCAGACATAGTCACATCGAAGGAGACAACATCTGTGCACAGCTGGAGCCCATATGAGCTGCACACCCCAGCGCCTCCCGAGCCCACTGCCGGCAAGGGACGGCTCCGCTCTGCAACATCGCCAGCAGCAGTCAGGCACTGGGGTTTCCAGCATTTCCGCAAGGAAAGAGGAAATTGAGCCACACAGTAGTATAGGGGTTTATTTAAAAGGCAAATGCTCAAGCATTAGGGCTGCAGAGTGGAAAAAAGAAATGGTGACTACACCTGGTTATGTACCAGCCCATGAAAAGGGAGGGAGGAAAAAAGGGAGGGAGGAAAAAGGTTCTGACCACTCCCTTGCGTTTCAAACATTTAGGGAACACCCGGAGGAGCACCCAGGTGGTGGTTGGGCCACAAAAGGTGGTCAGGCTCCCCCAGCCCCTGCCACCCCTCCGCCCAGGTGTCCCGGTGCCCTGCGGCAGCACTGGGTCCCCACAAGGCCACCTCCAGCGGTGGCAGGGCCAGGAGCAGGAGCCCCTCTCCCCAGGCAGAGTGGGCGCAGGGTCCACGCATGGCGACTGCAGGAAAGAGAGCAGCAGGCGGTCCTTGGCGGATGAAGTATTAGTTCTTTAATAAGTACAATAGTGACCCAGAGGCATAAAAAGGAGTTACAAACAGCAAAATATACATATTTTCAAGAGATGTAAATTCTTTACTTGCATAGAAAACCTGCTGTAGAAGACACCAGATAAGAAGTACAAGAACACTTTTCACCTCTGCCACGACCTTGCCCATCATGTACTAACACCTCGCACTAGAGCAGCAATGGGATCTCCAGCAACTGCTGCACACTGAGTGCTCTCAAGGAGCACCTTCCCCAGGGCCCGGCGAGCTGGCCAGGACCATAGCAGCATGATCTGAAGATGAAGGCACAATTTAACAAGGGGCAAGGAGTGCATGGAGGGAAGGGAAGGAAAATGGTGGGTTTGGTTTCAATTTCATGAAAATCACATTTGGTCTCAAGCTACCAGGTAGTCATTAAAGAAGGTTTATGCCAGAGCCATGGATAAAACAGATTTTTCCAACTTGTGAAGACTTTTGCAATTTCTGACAGTTGCCACGCTATACCAAGACAGAGAGGAGATACACTAGAACTTTGGGGGGGAGGAAGAAGAGGAGGATGAGGGAGACCGACAGCCAAGAGACACCAGAACAACCAATTCACTGGGCATAGGAAATCACCCCACCAGGTCTTGGCGGGCACCAGAGCCAGGGCTGGGCTGGCTGCCCATGGCTCTGCGTAGGGCACAGGGACACGTCCCAGTCTCTTACTCAGACTATAACTGCACTGTGGGAGGAGGGGAGATGGCTCTTCTGGCTCCCACCCACCTCTTCACACTGCTTTTCCATTTCAGCTATTAAAAAAAAAAGCCTAAAAATGCCAGTACCTGAGGAACAACACAAGAGGTGGGAAACAGAAGCGAAGGACACCTGTCCTCGTGATGAGGTGAACCAGGTTTGAGAGCGGAGGAGGAAATATGCTGCCTCCATTCATGCCTACCCGAAGCCACATGAGTGGGGTCCGTGTCCCGAGAAGTATCACCAAAATGCAGGGCGAGGGGGTCTTGCCCAAGCTGATGTCCCCACGCGCTTGCCTCAAGGCAATTTTCAACCATCAACTAGTTTCTCCCTCCAGGACCCTGTAGCACCATTCCCACTCTGCAGACACAGCACTGGAGGCAGGGATGTTAACTGGATGCAGAGGCTGGGCAGCAAGCCAAATTAGAAAATACGAGCTGAAAAGGGCACTCTTACTTTTCCTCCTTCAACATCCCTATTGCTCCCTATAGGAAATCCCCTATAGATCTGCATATGTCGCTGATGCCCCTTTCCTGTGGGATGCTGACAGAGAGGAATGTAGGCTGGTGCAGGAGCAGGAGATCTTCTTCCCACACTATCACACTGATGTACAGAACAATGGTGTTCAAGACCTCACATCTAAATGACATGAGAGGACACCTCAATTTCCCCCAAATCAGGGTGTTTCCCTTTACAAAAAGGTTTTTATAAATACTCAGGTCCTAATGACTTTTTCTAAATCTACTTTGCATTGAAAAAGAGGAGACATCCAGAGGGAATAGGGGGTGGGACAACTGTTTGGGAACATCCCCTGGGTTTTAGCCAAGCTGTGCTCCTAACAGTCATGGCACTCAGTTTGTTCCCAGACCCTTTGCCAGACAAAGGGATTGCTGTAGCAGAGGACAAGTCCAGGAAAGAACCTCATCCCTCCACAGTAGCCCTGAACGTCACATCGCTAATACATTATTACGATGCTTTTGTTTGGGGGGGGGGGGGGGAAGAAAAAAAACTTCTCG